TCTTTGGGGTGGGGGTGGAGGGCGAGGCGGATGGACTCCTTAGGGTCGGGTTGGCTGGTGAGGCGGATGGACTCCTTAGGGTCGGGTTGGCTGGTGAGGCGGATGGACTCTGTAGTCTGTATCTAGGTTTTTATCCTTCATGGATTTCATTGACAGCGGTGACTTGTGTGATTCCTTTCAGATCCAGAAGGTGGTGATGGCGATGGGAGACTACATGGGAGCCGGCTGCCACGCCTGCATCGGTGGCACCAATGTTCGGGCGGAGGTACAGAAGCTGCAGTCAGAAGCTCCGCATATTGTGGTCGGCACTCCAGGAAGAGTATTTTTTAGCACCTCATGTGGATCCAACCTACACTGGCATTGGTCTTCCACAGCAGTCAGTTCCTCCCATCGGCCTCCATGTCTACAGGACATGCTCCCGATTTGGAGGTTGGGTGAAGGGAACCACTGAGGCGAGGTCTCATGTAGCATAATGTCATGAAGCCAACATTTCAGGTCATTGCAGGGTCCCCGGGCAACTGGGTGACCCTGAGAAGGGACCCTCGAAACATTGGCTGTTTGACCTATTTGGCTGGCGAGGCGGATGGACTGCTTGGGGTTGGCTGGCGAGGCCAACCCCAAGGTTGAATCTCTAGAAAAGGCCTTTCTGGAGTGCTGGGGACTTCCTACTTGTTGCTGGTGACGCATGGCGCCATTCCTTGCAGTGGCTGGTGACGCATGGCGCCATTCCTTGCAGTGGCTGGTAACGCATGGCGCCATTCCTTGCAGTGGCTTGTAACGCATGGCGCCATTCCTTGCAGTCGCTGAGCACCCCTCTGAGTCACCTCTGGTCCGGGTCTCAGGACTGTGCAGCTCCAGAAGACTTTTAGGTTCGGGTTTGTTGGGCTGTTGTAATGATGATATCCCATGCGTGTCATCTGAAGCCCACGTCTCCCTCTGCGGCTGCTCTCTGGTCTGCGTCTTGCCGGTCAGAACAGTCGGCCGCAGAGGATTCTGGGAGATGATCACACCACCGTGTCTGAAAAACAGCTTCATCGTGGTAACTGGAATGCCTTGTCCCTGTTTCGGGGCTCCGCCTCTCATGAACGTGTCTCTTTCAGGTGGTGCTTCTCTCGGCCACCATGCCTTTCAGCGGTGACTTGTGTGATTCCTTTCAGATCCAGAAGGTGGTGATGGCGCTGGGAGACTACATGGGAGCCGGCTGCCACGCCTGCATCGGTGGCACCAATGTTCGGGCGGAGGTACAGAAGCTGCAGTCAGAAGCTCCGCATATTGTGGTCGGCACTCCAGGAAGAGTATTCGACATGTTGAACAGGCGATACCTGTGTGAGTATCCAGACCATCGTATTCCCTCCCTGTCACTGGGCAAGGGCGCATCACGTGATGTGTTCTTATATCTGACAGGGGCAGAGTGACCCCCATATTCATCCCAGCACAGATGTGTAGTCACTGTCGGCTGGTTCATGCTGTGGGGACAAACCTTACATTGTACAATATATGGGGGAGGGGGGCTTACACAGATTGGGGATCTCTTAGATTGGGGTGTTTATGTTCTGAGTCTTGTTGCTCTAATAGTTTTAGACTTCACATTGGTGTCCTGATGGGAATTGTCCCCGAAATAAATATTCCTTTATGTAGTGGCCGTCAGGTTGAATGTTCATGGATCTGGGTGTCTCCACCATTCATGCGGCCTCCATGAGCATCGTAGAGGGTAGGGATCGTTGGGTGGATTTGGGAACGGACGGATCTGGACACCCGGGGCTTTAGGAACCTGGATTTGTCCCTCACCACCGGAGTTTGGGATGAGCTTGTTGGGGGTCTGGTGGCTTTCAGCTTGTTCTAAGTCAGCTTTATGTTCCTTCATAGCTCCCAAATACATCAAGATGTTTGTGCTGGACGAGGCCGATGAAATGCTGAGCCGAGGTTTCAAGGACCAGATCTACGATATTTTCCAGAAGCTGAGCAGCAACGCTCAGGTAAGAGGTCATCGTGGTGCAGAGTTGTATTGATCCCGGGCCTGGGGGGGGGGGGGGTCTCCTGAGGTCTTTTAGGCACTCAGGACTGTGCAGCTCCAGAAGACGTTTAGGTTCGGGTTTGTTGGGCTGTTGTAATGATGATATCCCATGCGTGTCATCTGAAGCCCACGTCTCCCTCTGCAGCTGCTCTCTGGTCTGCGTCTTGCCGGTCAGAACAGTCGGCCGCAGAGGATTCTGGGATATGATCACACCACCGTGTCTGAAAAACAGCTTCATCGTGGTAACTAGAATGCCTTGTGCCTGTTTTTGGGGCTCCGCCTCTCATGAACGTGTCTCTTTCAGGTGGTGCTGCTCTCGGCCACCATGCCTTCAGATGTGTTGGAGGTGACGAAAAAGTTTATGCGAGACCCGATCCGTATCCTGGTGAAGAAGGAAGAGCTGACCCTGGAGGGTATCCGGCAGTTCTACATCAATGTGGAACGTGAGGTGGGTGTCCCCTTATCCCCCCTCCCCCCCCCCTTCCCTGTCACTGGGCAAGGATGCGTCACGTGATGGCGTGTATTCTTATATCTGACAGGGGTATATAAACCCCTCCCCCATATTCATCCCAGCGCAGCAGCTCAGTCACTGTCAGCTGGTTCATGCTATGGGGACACTTACCCCCTGCAGTGTCACTCTGCGATGGGGGAGTTATATGAAGTGTTATATGGGGGGCGCCGGGCTCATACCTCAGTTGAATTGATTTGTGATCACTGATTGGTCCCTCTCTCTCTCCGCCCCCCAGGAGTGGAAGTTAGACACTCTTTGTGATCTCTACGAGACTCTCACCATCACGCAGGCCGTCATCTTTATCAATACTCGCCGGAAGGTGGACTGGCTGACGGAGAAGATGCACGCACGGGACTTCACGGTGTCTGCGCTGGTAAGTTGGCGATCTCGGCCCTCCCCGGGTCACTGGGCAAGGACACGTCATGTGGCGTGAAGTCTTATATCTGACCGGGGTAAAAGAACATCCCATATTCATCCCAGCACGGCTCTCATATGACTGTAGGCTGGTTCATGCTGTGGGGACACGTCAGCGCCGTCCACATGCGTGTGTTCTTATACATTGCACTTTATTTCCAGCACGGAGACATGGACCAAAAGGAGAGAGACGTCATCATGAGAGAGTTCCGATCTGGGTCCAGTCGCGTTCTCATTACTACAGATCTGCTGGTGAGTGTTTGATGGCGCAGCCTAACCTGTCTGGTGGTTTCTCTTTTTTTATGAATGATGAAGAATCTTCCTCTAGTGGCTACAAGTGTGTCTACGGTTATTGCCAAACATGCCGAGATAAAATTGCAGGTTAAGCCACCCGGAGATTGGACCTGACCCCCACAGGTGAGCAGCAGAATTCCTTCTCTTACACATGTATGGATCTTAATCTGCTGAGATTTTAAAAAAACTCAGGGTAAACCGCCTAGAGCAGTGGTCTCAAAGTACCGGCCCGCAGGCCAATTGGGGCCCCCGAGCCGGTACTACGTGGCCGCAGCCAGCTCACAAGTCACGGGCCGGGTTCCAGACTTGCTGGAGCAGCTACACGGTCTGCATCTGGAGGTCTGTACTGGAGTTGTCTGTATGGGAGCGGGAACAGGTACATTGCTTAGTTTTGGATACACAGGGAAGGGTCGCGTTTGTTTTGCCGTCTCTTCCCGTTCAGAAGATTATAATAAGAAACGTATAAAGTGACAAGTTTATTTCTATTTTATAAACTTTATTTTTATTTTACCTTCATGCTGGGAGCCGGCCTGCTATTGCATCTGCCTGCTGTCAATCAGCAGAGGAGGGGCCTGAAGGAGAAAGTTCCTCCCATTCTGATTGGCAACAGGCAGTGGGTGGGTGCAATAGGCAGCCGGTATCGGTTATTGCGTTTTACAAAATCCAGTAGCAGGCTGGGTATGGCTCCCAGCCTGCTGATGCAGGGGGGCGGGGCAGAGGAGCGGCG